CATTATTAAATGGCAAACTTTATTCACCAGTTTTTCTTCTAGTGTCCTTTTTCTGTTTCAGGATCTAATACCACATTGCGTTTAAACTTTTTAAAAGTAAAAATATTGGTCAAGTGTGACTTATCCATGTAATCCTAGCACTTTGGGAGGCTGGGGTGGGAGGATCACTTGAGACCAGCCTAAGCAATGTAGCCTGAGACCTGTCTCTACAAAAAAGACAAAGAAATTCTCTGGACACGATAGCACATGGCTGTAGTCGCAGCTACTCTGGAGGCTGAGGCAGAAGATCGCTTGAGCCCAGGAGTTTGAGGCTGCAGTGAGCTATGATGATGCCACTGCACTATAGCTTGGGTAACAGAGTAAGACCCTGTCTCAAAAGAAAAAAAAAAGAAAAATGCTTCAGCTAGAATTACAACTTAATTAAATCTCAGTGTGATAATTATATAATGACTGACTAGAAGAATTATTAAATATTGCTTTCCTTTTCTTATTACTAAGTTCTGTAGTTGGCATATAGGTATATAATGGGTAGCTATTGAAAGTCAAAAGATTCTTTCTAATTTTTACAGAAAATAATGTTGAGTTTCCATGAAGAACAGGAAGTGTTGCCAGAAACTTTCCTTGCTAACTTCCCTTCTCTGATAAAGATGGATATTCACAAAAAAGTAACTGACCCAAGTGTGGCCAAAAGCATGATGGCTTGCCTCCTGTCTTCACTGAAGGCTAATGGTGAGTACAATTAGCCTTTCGTGGAGTTGGTAGTGTTTGGGCAAAGTAGGGACAGGACTGTATTTTAGGATAAAAAAGGAAAGAAGTGAATTGTGAATTTATACTTCTTTCCCTACCGTTTAAGGTTTGGTTTTGAATTATCAGTGGTATATGAATTTCATGTGTTTTAATCATTGAAAAAAATGCTGCTCTTTTACACTGCAAAAGCTTTCTGTGAGCCCTAATTAAATGAGAAGTAAATATATGAGGATGTATTTATTTTGCCAGAAGGCCCATAAATAATAGAGGAAAATTAAATGTGAACCTGAGGGAGAAACTTCACTTAGAAATGCAATTTTTGCTTAAGAATTTATCTAAATTCAACCTTCAAAAATACTTATATTATTGGTATGAAAACTTTTTTGTAAAGTAAATGTTTTATGCTTTAAGGGCCACATATGGTCTCTGTTGTATATTCTCCTTTTTTAAAACAATCTTTTTAAAAAAATGTAAAAGACCATTTTTAGCCCTTGGACCATATAATAATAGGTATTGTGCTCTTGTCAGAGGGTTGTTCATACATGAGAATGCACCTGGTTTATTGTTGCATCTTAATATTATTTGAGTCAGTGGTACCGTTTTTGCGGGATAATTTAAATAACTTTATCTGAAGAAAGGATAATTCTCAGTGTTGTACTTAGAACTGAATCACCTAGATAGATGAGGTATGTCTTAAGAAGACTATATAATATTCTGGTTGTATTGGCTTGTGACATGGGCTGGAATAGGCTCTGCCCTGTGGGCCTCAGCAGGTACTTTGTATGTTTTCAACAGAGGTATCCTTTGCATTGAGGTTTCTTATACCCTGTTCCCTGAAAAATTTTCTTTACTCACTGTTTAATATTAATATGAATTCTTTAAATTGTGACATAAATTTAGGAGCTGGTATAGATAAGCCCCTATTGTCTATGTTAAAGGTAATTATAATTCATATTTATAATTCTCCTACTTGACTTGTTTATGTTTTGAATATTTGTTTTATTTCTAGGCTCCCGGGGAGCTTTCTGTGAAGTGAGACCAGATGATAAAAGAATTCTGGAATTTTACAGCAAGTTAGGCTGTTTTGAAATTGCAAAAATGGAAGGATTTCCAAAGGATGTGGTTATACTTGGTCGGAGCCTGTGACATTTGTTGGTACTATGAACTGTCTAGAAAGTCTCTTAACTCCACCTTGTGGGTGGTGGTTGAGGTCTTGGTACAGTTTAGTCTCTGGAGTGGCAACAAATCAGCCAATTGGATTGGAAACAAAGAAGACTGTGTAAAACTCACCCATCACACTTTCAGACAATTCACTGGTTGGAAGAAGATAGTATTGCTGCAAATCTTGTGTGAAACAGAGATGTTGGCCTTCTTTTGGGGTCTTGTGTTAGGTGCCAAGACCTCTTATATGGGCTCATATAGGGAGGGGGTCTTCAATAAATGTAGTCAGCACTATTTTCTGCATCCAGTGTGGTTGCATTTCTAACCTAAGAGTAATCAGAATCACTTCTGTCATCCTTGGTTTATTGAATGAAAGGTCTCTCAGTCTTTGGGGACATGGCAGAGAGGAGAAAGATTTAGTGGGTTTCAGAGGCTTCAGGGAGGAGAGATTCCAAGTGGGATGATTGTGCCATTAAAGCTGAATAAATGATTTCAATTTGGGGCGGTTTTTCTGCTTTTTGTAAAGCCACGGTCAATTGTTTTCTGTAGTGACCATTGGTTCAGGCATGGTGTGCTTTGTAGGGACAAATGTGCAGTTGTTTGTGGCAAAAGCCTAAAATTGACAACTTGTAAATTTCTTTGTATATAAACTAGCTGTAACCTGACTATCATTTGTGTTTACTGTTTTTGTAATTTTTTTTTTCCTCATGAAAATGAAAGGGTTTTTGTTCCGGATGGCACTTTCAATGATGTAAATGAGTAGAAGATGGATTTTCTTTACTTTTTTTTTTTTTTTTTTTAAGTTTTATTATTTTTAAAGTGCTTCCCATCTAGGCCTAGGCCATGACCATTTTGGGTACGAGAGCCTAACTTAGAACTTAATCTGTTGCAAAGTGCAGTCTCTTCTGGAAATTAACCTCAATAGCAGGTCAGCATGTGAAATGTTGGTTTTGACATCTGTTAAGCAGGGTTCAGGGACTGATCGGTCCATTTGCCCTTAGTTCAGTTGTCCTTTAATCTCAAGACCTGTTACTACTGGTTTTATTAAATAAGAGTCTTTAATTCTTGCATGTTTGTAGCTAGTTTTTAAGAGAAACAATGAGCACATTTTAACCAATGATTTATGGTTACCCTTCCCCTTTCCTTTAACCACAGGTTCTGAAAGCTTCATGTATTTTAATTTAGATACGTTTTTAAGGGTTCTGAGCATGAGGCTGGCAGGTAATTTCTACAGGATTCATTTTTTTTCATCATGGCTGGCTGACTTCTCCATAGGTTCATAGCAATATTTTGTTATCTTGCTTCCTTGCAGTTTTTAACTTTGAGCTGTTTAACTTTGAGCTGTGTGAGGGGAGGGAGTAAATAGAAGGAAACTTGAAATACATTTTCCTTCACAGAACTTCACCAGTGTGATCTTTAAGAGAGTCTTAAAGCATCGTACCTAGTGACTTCCAACCAAGACCTATGAGTGTGCACTGAATGAGTGAGAAGGGAGGGAAGGAAGCCTCTTCATTCTTAGGGTAGAAACCTTTATCTGATAGAAGGATATCTGTGTTGGAAAGCTCGAACCAAGTTTGCATATTTGAGGGCTAAGGTGAAGAAAGGAAGATCCCTACTAGATATTAAGATAGCTGAATGTTACCCAGTTTCTTGTTGAATATATCTTTAACACTAGTGGATAATTCTAGCATTTCATCTGGAGGGTTTCAGGTCAACCTGATAATGGAATCAGGATTTTTAGCAAGTTTACTTTTGGTTTTATCTTGGCTTTTAATAATCACTTTGGCTGGTCGTCTGATCACAGGTGTCAACTGTGAAACAGATGCCCAGGTCTATACTTTCATCACTCCAAGATCATAAAGTGCTATGCTATTCCATGATAATGAATATTTATTAAGGTTGAAATGACATTTTATTGATTGTTTAGATCACAGCTCAGTTCCTGTAGAAAATGAACTGTAAAACTATCTGAAGACGATGCAAGAGGCAAAATAAAACTTGAAGTGAATGCCTGTGGTGTTGTACTGCGTGAACCTATTTCCTGTCTGCCCCCTACCTTTTTCCTTTCATGCCTCACAAGCAAGTTATGCCTCCTCTCCACAGCTGTTCTTAGAGACTGGATGTTGAAAGCAGCCCTCCCCCCTATTTCCATCACCAGATTTGCAAAGCAAAAGCTAAAAAAAGTGGACTATAATTCTTGGCCAAACGACTCCACTCTCTTGCCATAGTTTTAACCTGGGTGTCAAGTAGGGCCCCTAGTTTGTTTCTGCCATCTAACAGGGAACACAACAGTTTGCCTGATTCTTTAGTCAGAAGGTGAAAGATGGCAAAATAGCCTAAATTGTATGACAGGAAATACAAGGCAGAAGGATGTTCCTGGGCTGATTTGGAAGTTAAAAAAGCGTGGGTCCGCCAGGAGCAGCAGTTGAGTCCCACACTGAGCTAACTAGTACTCTACTAACCAGCAAGTGACAGCATCAAGCCAGCAGATAAAGCTCAGTGACGATAAGCCATCTGGGTAGAAAGTTGCAGGGTCATTACAGCAGGAAGCGTGTCTAGGAAAGGCTTAAGCTGAGAGGACAGAAGAGTTTGGGTGGAAGGAAATTCCTGGAGTTGGAAGTCTTCCTTAAGGCTCCTCGGCTCTTTTGGGGCAAAGACAAATCTGAGCTCATTTCCTTTGCTTTTACAAGAAAAGCACTATCCGGAACCCCGCCTTTGCTGGCGGAGGAGTAGGTAAGCTTTACATCTCTTTATCTATGCTGCCTTTAAAGAAAGCTTACGCTGGGGTTGGAAGAGTGGGAAATACAATACTACAGAGTGTGCGGGGAGCTGTAGAAAATATGGACGCCCTCATGGTCGTGGAAATGAGCAAGGACGTTAACATTAATCCCAAATCCATTGTTCTGTGCAGTTACTGCCTTTCTGCGGTCTTCACAGGTCTGAGCAGCAGTCGCGGGCTTCTGGGCGGAGAAGTGCTGGACTCGCGCGTCCTCGGTGCCTGTCCTCTTTCAGGACCGAGCGTCTCCTTTAATAGGCGGGGCCGGAACTGGTCGAGGGACCCTCGCTTCGTACGTGTCGGGGGCGGAGTTTGGAGACGGTCCTTGCAGCATGGCCGCCGGCACGGCCCCTGCCCTAGCGTTTTTGAGTCAGGAGAGCCGAGTCCGGGCCGAGGGTGTCGGGGGTCTGCGGATACCAGCTCCAGTCACTATGGACAGTTTTTTCTTCGGTATTGGGGAAAGGAGGGGCTGTGGGTAATACTAGAGCGGTAAGAGGTCGTGATGAGGGACAGGAATGCGGACAGTTGCATGGCATGGGTGGGTGCGGAGGGGCGTCTGGCTGTTCCCGAAGGCTAGGGGGACCTCGCACTCGGCCGCGTGAGCGAAAGGGGGCGGTGAGATCCCTGCCCCAGGTGTGCAGGGCGGGGCCCGGGGCCGAGCTCCCCAGGTGTTGTGAGAGAAGGGACGCCTGGTGGGCGTGTAAATGGCCGGTCAGTCCGTGGCTACACGTGACAGGGTGGGGTGGGGTGGGGGTTGGTGACTTCTACTACCCCCCCTCCCCCCCCCCCCGCAAATACTCAAGCGTAGTCACACTGTTCTCTCCCAGGCTGTGAGCTCTCCGGGCACACCCGCTCCTTCACCTTCAAAGTAGAGGAAGAGGATGATGCGGAGCACGTGCTGGCATTGACCATGGTAAGGGGTGGGGGAGGGGCCGACGATGAATAAAGCTGGGCAGGCAATTAGTGGGCCTCTACCCAATCCCTTCCCCTTACTAGGAGTCTACTCCTCTGCTTAGCTTCCATATGGGTGGTTCCCCTGGCCAGGTGATGCAGGGGCCTCTGAGGCCAGGCAAATTCTAGAGTAGATGCCTTCACTAGTAGTGTTAACGCTTGCTTGAGAAGACTCTGAGGCCCTGTGTACCCTTCCCAGCTCTGTCTCACCGAGGGGGCCAAAGATGAGTGTAATGTGGTAGAAGTTGTGGCCCGGAACCATGACCAGCAGGAGATTGCAGTTCCTGTGGCCAACCTCAAGTTGTCCTGCCAGCCCATGGTGAGTTCCCTAGCCATACCTTGGTGGTGGTGATGAGGGGATTGAGAACTTCAGTACTATCATAGCTGGGGTGGGATAGGAGTGGGCCAGGCCTTCATCCTTGTCTTCCTCCCAGCTCAGTTTGGATGACTTCCAGCTCCAACCACCTGTGACCTTCCGCCTGAAGTCGGGCTCTGGCCCTGTGCGGATCACTGGGCGCCACCAGATTGGTGAGAGGAGGGGAGGGCCCTCTCCTTTGCCTCCAGTGGACTCTCCCATCAGGCCTGCCCCGTACTGCACACTCCTGCCCCATCCCAGCCTTGTGTCCCAGCACAGCCCCCATACAGGCCTGCATGCCCTCCCAGGCTGTGCCCTGTGCATGATGTGCTCTCTGCTTTCTGTCCTACTCTGGCCTACCTCCTTCATGGAACCTGTCGCAGCTTCTCCAGCTCCAGTGATGTGGAGTCTTTTAGCTCTTTGTCACCCAGTTTAGTGCCTGAGTTTCTTCTCACCTGTACCATAATCTGTGGGAGATCAGGGTCCCTGCAAGACTAGCACCACAGTAAGTGTGGCATGAAAGGGGCCTGGCTTTAACCTTTCCCTCCCTCTACTGCTTGTGTGTCCACCAGTTACTATAAGCAATGATGTTTCTGAGGAAGAGGAGAGTGAGGAAGAGGAGAGTGAAGAGGAGGAAGCTGAGTTGTGCCCCATCCTTCCTGCCAAAAAGCAGGGGGGCAGGCCCTAGCCCTCCTTGGTGAGTAGGGAGGGAAGAGTGCCAGAAGACTCTGGGAGGGGGCAGGAGGAGCAGGTGAAGGCTTAGATGTTGACCCCTATTTGCTCTTCCCAGGTCAGCCAGCTGCCTGTGTGCACCATGTTCCCGGACAAGTTTCAAGAATTGTAAATGTTTCCTCTTCATTGAAGAGGAGAGTTTGGGGTGGGGATTTGGTTCTAGAGACTTTGGCCTGAGCTAGGAAAGGGGCCTGTTCTTCATAGGGCCCTGGTGTTTGGTCTTGCACCATGCCTGGGGCTTCCCTTTTCTCTAGGAGTGGGAGGGACTCTGAACCTGTATCCTGAACAACCCTCCCTCTCCGCTGCCTATGAGGATGGGGGCTTAGTGTCTGGAGCTCAGAACTACACATTTTTAACACTTTTTACATTTTTGGATAAAAATTGAAATAAAGTGCTGCGGGGTTTTTGCAACTCATTTGTGTGGCTTCTTCCCATGCTAGGGTGACATTTCCCTGGGGACCACCAGGTGGCACTGTGGCAGCACTTTGGGTGGCCCTGAGCTTTGGGGAGGGTGGGGGAATGTGGGATCCTACTATTCCCAGGTCCCTGGGCCAGGACCAAGCCTGGGCCCCAGCCGCCTTGCTGAAAGGGGACCTCCCGATACTCTTTCGTTCCCAGTCGCTGCAGGTGGGGGAGGGCCATTGCAGGAGGTTATCAGCGTCCAAACAAGGGGCCCAGGCCTCTGTCAGCACTCAGGCTGATGGGCAGGGGGCAGATAAGTGGGCTTAAGCAGGCTGAGGAATGTGCATCCCTAGCCCCATGAGGGGGCTGAGGCCCAGAGAGGACCTGCAAGGGGTGGGGCAGGGACCAGTCTTTGCTTCTCCTTTGAGTCTATTAGGCAGTCTCTGAGCAGGGCTGGGCCCTTAGAAACTTGATTCCAGGGGCCAGATGGAGGGAACTGGCCAGATTGGGTGACAGAGAAACCAGAATCCGGGTGGCCTGGCATATGGGGGCAGGAAGGGGCCCCTGGGAATTGGCCTCTTGAACTAAGGGGTTCCTGCCCCCCCCAGCACACCTCCTGGTCTGGGATCTCTGGTGCCTGGAATCAGGTGGTTCTGGGCCTTGGCTGCTACTGTGCCAAGAAGAAGAAGGGATGCACCTAGTGTGAGGATAAGTGTGTGTGACCAGCTCTGGGGTCAGCAGTTCAGCAGCTGTGTTGGTGTGTGTGGGGGGGGGCGGGTTGTCAATGCCCTACAAACAAACACAAACAAAACATTACCTCCCCAGACAGCCTGGGGCCAGACAAGCTGAGGATGGACAGAGAACAGGGCCTGGTGGGGGTCAGGCCAGTTCTAGAACCAGCCTCTGGGCAAGTGAGTGGGCATGGGGGAAGGGGCCCATGATAACCCCAAGAGGCTGGTATTGGGGCAGGGGAGGTAAACTTTGAAGAGAGTCCCCATAATATGGAAAAGCATTCTCAACACATCCCTAGAGAAGAAGGATCTCCCCTCAACCCCTTGGTGAGGAACTAGGGGGTACAATTTTCAACCTCCCTTCGTCCTCAAAGGACGAAGGGAGGTGACCCCTCTCCGTGTTGGGGTGATCAAGGTCGCAGGCGCTTTTCTCCGCTTCAGGAGGGCTTTCCTGAAATGTTTCCGCTGGGGAGCTAAGGCGAAGGGGGAAGCCTGGCTTGGAACCACTCGTCGTGGCTGGAGAGGAGAAGGTGCCACTGGCGCCCTCTGGTGGGCGAGGTTGTGGCCAGACCTCTCCACAAGCCGCCTCTAAGGGCTCGGCGGGTGCCGTGGTGCCAGCAGGAACCTACAAGTGCCGAGAGTGGTCTAGGCGGCCGAATCTGGCGGAAGGCTAGGGAATATGTCATTAGGCTTGCATGCATGCGTGCGTGCGTGCATTCATTCATTTGAAGGACTGGTGATAGAGTAGGGGAGTCGGGCTGCCGTATTCACTACTCCTTACCCTTCCTCACCTCGCCTCCCGCCTCCGAAGTCCTCGGCACGTGCTTGGTTGGAGGCGCGAGAGTCTGGCTGAGTGCAGCGCTGTCGTCTCTCCCGGAAGCCTCCCAAGCCGATCCATCTACCCACTGCGCGTGGCTCCGCCCCAATATTTACCACCACCACCACCACCACCACCCCCCCGCCACGATGCCACCGATCGCTCATTGTATTCCTTGCCTGTCTTCCTGGTCAGTCTCCTGGCGGGCGTGGGCCGGCGCCCAGCACACTCCTGCCCGCTGTGGTGGCCCAATCCACATCGACTCTGAGTCAGGAGTTTCCCAGCCCGATGGGGCGCCCCGCAGACAGAGCTGGGAATTGTTTTTCCTCCCTCCCTGCTCCCGCTTCTCCCCAGTCCCCTCGTCTGCCCCCTCAGCACACAGTAGGAGCGCTGCCAATTCACTCTGGCTTCGGAGCGCTGGGGGATGAAGGCGTACGCTGGGGTTTGCCGACCGCTGGAGGAGGGGCAGGCTCGTATTTTGGGGGGCAAAGGAGAATGGCTCCCAGACGGGGTCCGAAGTGCATAACGCAGTCTCGGCGATTTGCATTTGAACGGTCGGGGGAGAGCCCGCGGCGCTTTGAACGCCGGGCGCGGGAGCACGCGTAGGAGCGAGCTGCAGTCCCAGCGGCCGGCGCCGCTGGTGTGGATTTGAGGGTCCCGGGGCGCGCCGGGGGGCCAGAGGTGCGTTTGGGAAGAGGCTGAAGGTGTGTGTTTGGGTGCCGGCGGGGGCGTGTCTGCGGAGAGGGGGCGTTTGTGTTGGCTAGGAGTGTGTGTTTGTGTTTGCAGGCGAGGGAGTGTGTGTGTGTGTGTGTGTGTGTGTGTGTGCGTGCGTGTGTGTTTGTTTGCCGAGTGTGAGGGAGGCCGGGAAAGGTGGCCGAGCTGTCACTCAGCGATCAGGTTGACAGGCGCTCCCTCATCTGGGCCCAGGAGCTCTGATTGCAGATTCGAGGAAACAAAATAGCAATTGTAATTACGGGGCTTTGATAAGATAAAGGAAGGAGGGAGCTGGCCGGGAGGCGGGCGAGCGAGTGAGGGAGGGAGCGGCCTGCGGGGGCCGGGCGGAACATTTGCATCTGTCAGTCACGGGGCGTGCCGGGGCAGAACCAGGTGCCTGCTGCCTGGGTGTCCCCATCTGTCCCTCTCCCCTAGACATGCGGATTTTGGGAGAGATGGGAGAATCTCAACGAACTGAGTGAGGGTCCAGGTCGTGGGAGGGTCTCCAAATGTAAAGGAATTCTCGTCTCCAAGACGCTCGGTGGCAGAGGTAGGGGTGGGACTAACACTCTGACCTCGGACCCTTTAGGCCCCAGATGCCCATCGCCTCTAGGGGAGAGGGGGGAGGGTGGGTGGAGACCACTGCAGTTCATCCCAGGGCCCTCAGAATCTTATGGGACTCCACAACTACAGTTTAATGCTGGTCTGAGCCAGGTGCTCTGCCACCGTGGCCCCAGAGAGGGGAAGGTGTCCAGGCTGGCTCTGGTTGTGACTCTGGGACCATGTACACACTATGGATGGGCTGGCAGCCCTGACCCCTACCTGTCGCCTGCCCCCTGCTCTTGTCATCAGACTTATTTTCAGAGGGCTGGGTCCATGGTGGGGAGAAGTCCCATCCCTTTCAGGAAGCATCCATGCCCTGCTCCCCATGCTCTCCATTCATTCATTTATTTATTAATAACAAGAAAATTTTCATTTTCGAGGGCCTACACTTACAGGGCGTGAGGTTAAGATGGTGAGCAAACAGACATCACCCTTACCAGCTTGGAGCAGTGCAGAGAGGGAGGCAGACACTCAACAAATCATGACTCAAGCCTTAAACAGAGCACAGGGAAGGACTGGCCTGGGCTGTGGCCACCGGAGCCCACCTGACCTACCTCCTGCCTAACTCCTGTGGGGTTGAGGGAGACAGTGCCCGCCAAACCTGTCGCAGATACAAGTGCTAGATAAGTGGCAGAGCTTACGATTATCTGTTGGGAGGCGGGTGAAGGTAAGTCTCCCTGGGGAAGTTGCACATGGGATGACTGATATCTAAATGCTCGGCCAATTTCCCCATTATTCATTAATTCATTAATTCAACAAACACTAACTGCAGAACAACTCTGCTGAGCTCTGGGCCATGAGCTGCGATTTCTGAGCTAGAGAGACGTGGTCCTTGCTTTGAGGCCTGTGTGTGGGCAAGAATCCTGTGAACAGACTCCTGGAGGGGAGTAGCAGGTGGGCTTAGGAAGTCTGCTTCTCTGAGGAGGGATGAGATCTTGGGACAAGTCTTCTAATTGTTTTCCCTTCTAAACAATCCTTGGTGTTTGCATTTGTGGCTGGGAGTTGGGAAAGATGCAGCATAGGGACAGGCGGGCAACAAAACTTGGGAGGTAGGCAGAACCCGGCTGTGCTGCTGCACAGGGGCCTGCCTGCTCCCTCTGGCCTAATGGCTCCTTGGGACCACCCCAACCCCTCCAGTCGGACCCCTAGGGGCGTGGAGGGCCAGTGGGGATGGGGAAGTTGGGGGTGAAGGCAGCAGCTGGGTAGGGCGTCTGTGGTTCCACCTGTTCCTCCCAAGTACCTGTCCCAGGGCACTCTGCCCACAGGCTGCTCCCACAGAAGCAGTGTGGCGGCTCAGGATGTCCAGAAACCTCAGGGGGAAGCAATGAGGTGAGGAGCTGGGAAAGGCTTAGACAAGTGCCTATCTCCTCTTCCCGCCCCTTGACACAAGGCACCAGTAGGTGTGTAAATACCTGTGAAATGAAAAAATAATGGGACTCTGAGGGGGAAAGGGCTGGGTGGTCTGGATCTAAGTTCCTTCCCCCAGGAAAAGCTGCTGAGAATAGTTATTTTTGCTCCTGCTGCCTGCTGGGTTTGGGGGGTAGAGCAGTGGCTGTGGGACCTGCCAGGGACCTCTGGGCTCCCCCTTCTACATAGGTGGCTCATGGTTCTTCTCAAGCTTTAGGCTAGTGGCGGGGGGACATAGTGATAGCATAGCGGGGGTGATAGTGATAATGGAAGTTGGGGCTGAGGGAGGCATTTCTCGCTCCCAGGGCCTCCTTGGAGACTGAGCGAGACAGGAGAGACCGGCAGGGCGGGGTGTTCAGCCGGGTCCGGATCGCATAGGCGCGCACTGCGCACAGCTGTTCGTTCCAGCGGTATCTGCCGCTTCCAGCGGGCAGGCCCAGCCCTAGCACACAGTAGGTGGCTCAGAGACAGGCCGCGTACGCGGACGCGGCGGCGGACCGGGCCCCACGGCGCGAGACCTAGCCCCGCCGGACTTGGGCGCACTGGGCGGTCCAGAAAGCCCCCGCTCAGGGTCTCGGGGCCCCGCAGAGCAGGCTGTCCGAGGCGCCCCATCCCCGCGTGTCCGGGCCCCAAGAGCGCGCGAGCGGACCGGCCAGGGATAGGGGGAGGCGCCCACACCGGCCGCCCCCGCCCCTCCTGCGGGTCCCAGACCCCTCCCCTAGCCCAGACCCCCAATC